ATCTACTGTATATATACATAGAAGGCGATGAGCTCTGTAAAAGTTGTGAGACATGAAGGTGTTGTGCAGGGTCTTGAGTCTCATGGAAGGTGTTGAGCCCTATCGAAGGTGTTGTGTCCCATATAAGGTGTTGAGGGAATGTACCGCCGCACTCCTAACCCGTCTTCCCCTAATTGGATAGGTGCTGAAGTGATTCTGCAATTGGCAACACATGCATCCAGTGAATAATTTCAGCATCATGTCAAACAAAAGAAGATCATGTTTTGTGGCTGCACAGGGTCCCTTCATCAGAAATAGATAACAAGTGCAGTAATATCAACACATTTTCAAAAACCACTGCCGCATAACTCCTTTGATGTTACTATGACACAACCTGAACCATAATACTGGTTAACAGGGCTGCAGGGCATTGCCCCATCAGAAGGTCTACAAGGCTGCAGCCATTATCTGTCAATGACTGCCACCGTCATAGTAATCATATCGCTGGCCCGCACCCTAAGCCTGGGATGGTGGCCAGTCAAACAGAAGCTTTGGGCTAGACCCACTCCCGCATGCGTGGCAGCAGCCCAACACCTGTAGAAGGTGTTGTGCACTGTGGAGCGTGTTGTGCTTTGTGGAAGGCGTTGAGCCCGGTGGATGATGTGGGGGTGTTAGGTGTTGGGTCTGTCCAGGTTGGACCTGTGGAAGGTGTTGTGCTCTGTGGAAGGAGTTGAGCCCCATGGAAGGTGTTGAGCGCCGTGGAAGGTGTTGTGCCCCTGGGAAGGTGTTGTGTCCCTGGGAAGGTGTTGAGCCCTGTGGAAGGTGTTGTGTTCTGTGGAAGGTGTTGTGTTCTGTGGAAGGTGTTGTGCCCCTGGGAAGGTGTTGTGCCCCTGGGAAGGTGTTGAGCCCTGTGGAAGGTGTTGAGCCCTGTGGAAGGTGTTTTGTTCTGTGGAAGGTGTTGAGCTCCGTGGAAGGTGTTGTGTTCTGTGGAGAGTGTTGTGCTCTGTGGAAGGTGTTGAGCCCCGTGGAAGGTGTTGAGCCCCGTGGAAGGTGTTGTGCCCCGTATAAGGTGTTGATCTCCGCGGAAGGTGTTGAGCCCCGTGGATGGTGCTGTGGTGTTGGTTGGCACCCGTGGAAGGTGTTGTGTGGAGATTGGTGAAAGTTGGTGTGAATTCTGTGGAAGAGCGAGCTGTGCAGTGACAGGAGTGATGGAGGGGGGAAGAGGCTCTGTGGAAGGTGTTGAGCCCCGTGGAAGGTGTTGTGTGGAGATTGGTGAAAGTTGGGGTGAATGCTGGGGAAGAGCGAGCTGTGCAGTGACAGGAGTAATGAAGGGGGGAAGAGGCATTCTCTGGAAGAGCCACACTGACTCCTCCTTGAGCAGCTCTCAGTGACAGCATAGTCTGTAGAGCACACAGCTTCTCTCAGCCCCTCTCAGGCAGCATTAGGGCAGCAGCTGGCTTGTCTCAGCCCCTCCATTCGTACAGTAGTGCTCTCCCTGCTCCTCCCCAGTGTGCTGTTCCTCCCCACTCCACTTCGCTAGGGGTGTCTGCTGTCTGGAGGGCACAGTGGGGGTGCATCATCACTGGCATGCTCGTGGAGTGACAGGAGTGATGGGGGGGGGAAGAGGCTCTGTGGAAGGTGTTGAGCCCCGTGGAAGGTGTTGTGTGGAGATTGGTGAAAGTTGGTGTGAATGCTGTGGAAGAGCGAGCTGTGCAGTGACAGGAGTAATGAAGGGGGGAAGAGGCATTCTCTGGAAGAGCCACACTGACTCCTCCTTGAGCAGCTCTCAGTGACAGCATAGTCTGTAGAGCACACAGCTTCTCTCAGCCCCTCTCAGGCAGCATTAGGGCAGCAGCTGGCTTGTCTCAGCCCCTCCATTCGTACAGTAGTGCTCTCCCTGCTCCTCCCCAGTGTGCTGTTCCTCCCCACTCCACTTCGCTAGGGGTGTCTGCTGTCTGGAGGGCACAGTGGGGGTGCATCATCACTGGCATGCTTTGGACCGGGCTCGCCATCGCCATGCCTGGGGAGCAATGAGAGGGGGCAAACCACGCCACGGCTGTGCTTGCCAAAACCTCTTCCGCAAAGTCCTGTCTCAGTGCAGCTGCTGCTACGCTCGGGTGAGAGGTTAGTGGAAGCCCTGCTATTTCACTTCTCTTTGTGTGCACCCCGATCCCCTGTCCGGTGTCACCCCCCAACTTTACACTGCCAGCAGTCATTTGTTTTTTCCATGATGTCTTTATAGCATTCCTGTCCGTGCAATTTTCAATGCAGCTAGCACAGCCTGAGTATGCAGTCATAAATAGATCATCGAATACTTTCCTACCTACATTGCCTTTAAAGCAGAGCGAAAAAACAAACTTGCATTGCATGAGACTGTGTGATGTTGCCCTGTTTCTGGGTATTCGGTGGCACTGGCTGGTGTGATGATGAGCACACAATGTGGATCTTGTATACAGTACACTAGTGATGCCAGTGTATAGTGATGTGCACACATTCCCACGGTCGTCCGTGTTGTTAAATGTGATTGTGCAGGCAGAGTGTACCCCTTTATGATGAGCCTCCTGCTTCCCACATTCCAACAGCAGCAATCTGACTGCCAGGATCACCTCCTCACTGACAGCTTATCAGCAGGGCTAGCTGATCAATATGATGGCAAGGGACCACCGCTGATCGGATTACTGTGTGTGGGGGGAAAACATGTTCTCTGGTGACCCAGCCCCTTCTAAAAATGTCACATTTTTCTCTCTCTTATGGGAAGGAGCTTGCTTGCAAGCAGTGATTGCTGTTGAAAGGAATTTACATTGTCTTACATCCATCAGAGAATATTGTTATATGTGTCAAGTGAGCCTGTACTGAGGAGCAGGGAACCATTGGATGGTGCGGGGTGTTGGGTCTGTCCAAGTAAGATTAGACCTTAATCTGAAATCTTGTCCGACACACCATGTCAGGGTTGTCTGAGGACTGGTGAAGGGAGGCTGCATGTTATTGCTCCCTCTATTTCCGTTGCTTGGGACTTCTTCTTGAAGTCATGCCGGCAGCGTTTTTCCTTTCCATAAAAATGTTTACTCCCTTGCACATGCAATGTGAGTCTGAAGTTGCTAGCACATTTGACTACTTCCTTAGTATAGCCCACTCCCTCTCACATTATATCCCCTCCTCTTCTTGGAGGGTCTAATTACTGTCTGTGATGGCCAAGCTCCTCCACCCCTTCCCTTGCCCCAATAAATAACTTTTTCTGTAGCTGTTGGTAGAGGAGTAAAGGCAAATACCATAGAGCACTTTCTCAACCAGGGTTCCATGGAACTTTAGGGTTCCTTCAGAGGTTGCTAGGGCTTCCATTAGCAATGAGCAATTTCCCCTTCTGAGATAAATAAGCACTGACAACAGAGATCTTTCTAGAGTGTGTGTGTGTGGGGCAATTCTTCCCAATCACCACAGATGCAAGGGGCATTCTTCCCACTGACTATCATGTTAATAAACCATGAGCTGTAGCTATAGTAATTATTAGCTAAGGATCCCTGAGACCAGAAAGTTTTTTCAAGGGTCCCTCCATGGTAAAAAGGTTAAGAAAGGCTTCTATAGAATGTCAATTGAGTGATAGTTCTGAGCTTGCTTGGACTGCTGACATGACATCCAAGATGGTGGCTCCCAGGAGTAGTGTCTGGGCTTTAAGATGTCCACACAAGGGGGCTTTGACAGGTAAATACGCTAAATGCACATATAATCTTATGGGAAGACTGTTGAATTGAATGGTCTGGTGACAGGGTCACTTTAATGCAAAATCTTGCACGACACCAGTGGCATGGCATGTTCCTGCCATGTCAGAGTTGTTTAAGGACTGGTCTGGGAAGGCTTCATGTTATCTCTTGATCTTTTCTTATGGATTGGTACTTTAAGTGCCCATTTACACCAAAACCACAGCTAAATTGCACCAAAAAAGGCATCTAAAATAAATATGCGTTTACATGCATTTGTGTTTTTTTGGGGGGTAGGAAGTTCCAAGACTCCTACTTTGAGCATTTACATGCGTTGGGGTGTGAAAAAAATGCAGCCTGCTCTACTTTTTTTGAACGCAATGCACTGGTGCGAACTACACCAGTGAAAACCACATTTTCTTGTGTATATGCATTTTGAATACATTAAAAAAAAATGCACATTGGGTGGCCATGGGCCCTTAGTGTAAATAAAATGTGTAACCATGGTAAAGCTACATCGGCTATTTACAATAATGCCCTGCAAACAATGAGCAACCAAGGGCAGCACAGTGGCATAGTGGTTAGCACTGCCACCTTGCAGCACTGGTAGTCACTGGTTTGTAACCTGGTCAGGATGCTATCTGCATGGAGTTTGCATGTTCCCCCCCATGCTTGGTAGGTTTCCTCCCACTTTCTATAGACATGCTGGCAAGGTCATTGGCTCCTGTCTAAAAATTTAATACAAATCCTTAAGGACAAGGACAGACATGAGTCGCATGTAAAGCACAGTGTAAATTGTGGGCGCTATATAAATACCTGTGACACATAAAATAAACCAAAAGGAAGTCAAACTGCGCTAACAAGCCAGTGGATGAAAACAGCTTCTCTACTACTAGTTTGTGATATTACATACATGTGACATGGATATGTGCAGACCATCCTGGAAATGATATACCGGGGATTGGTGTAACCACTGTACTTGGATGGTCTGGATGCTTCTGTTCAGAAAACAATGTGATTATAAACCTAAGTAGTTGTACGTAAGCTGCATATGTCGAATGCTCGTATTACAGATCTTGCGCACATTTTAATCTGATATTATATCATATGTTTTCATAATCTTTATTCTGTACATCAAGCAGAGTTTGTCTCTTATCTACAACGTCCTGTGTGGTTTCATTGAATTTAGTTGGTGCTTTCTGGATGGATGCAGGATGTTATAAAACTCAGGATCTTATTTGTAAGACATTAGTTAGGTCCCCTGATTTTGTTTTACCTACACAGACATTTTACTTAGCACTTGCAATGGTTTTGGGGTTATTTATAAAACAACAACTCAAAGCTGTGAAAGTGTAAAGAAATTGTGCCCCTGGCATCCCGCCCAGCTCCTAACAACCAGTGACGTCAGTGAGCTAGGCAGGAAGAATGCCAGCCAGAGCATCACAGGTTGCTAAGCTGGATAGGGAGATGTGTATGGCCCTTACTCATCCCCGCCTGACTGTTAGCAACCTGGAATGTTATGGCTGGCATCCCTCTCAGCTCCTGGCAACCAGTGACATCAGTGGTTACCAGGACCTGGGTGAGACGCTGGCCAGAGTGTTCTGCTCAGCTCTTGGCAACCAGTTACGTCACTGAGCTGGGCAAGATCCCTACGAGAGTTTACTAGGTTGCTAAGAGCTGGACAGAAAGATGTGTATGGCTCTTACCCATCTTCACATCAGCTCTTGGCAGCCTGGAACGCTCTGGCTGGCATCCTGCTCAGCTCCTGGCCACCAGTGAGGTCACTGGTGGCCAGGAGCTGGGTGGGATGCTGGGCAGAGCTTCCCTGGTTGCTAAGAGCTGGGTAGGGAGATGTGTATGGCCCTTACACATCCCCGCCTGACTCTTAGCAACCTGGAATGCTTAGGCTGGCATCCCGTTCAGCTCCTGGCCACCAGTGAGGTCACTGGTGGCAAGAAGCTGGGTGGGATGCTGGGCAGAGCTTCCCTGGTTGCTAAGAGCCGGATGGGGAGATGTATATGGAAGAGGGGTGGGGAGAGAAAAAAAAGTCAGCTTTCTCCATGGATCAGCAAACTT